TGTGTGGCTCACATCGCAGCCGGAGGTGAGTGTGCAGCGGAGCGGCATGTCCCAGATATTTGCCCACTTTCTGCATCGTTTGTACAACTTGAATGTGCTGCTGCTGCTGGCCCACATGGAGAGATCGACGCTGCAGCCATTTGCCTTTCTGCCATACACAGCCGGCAGCTGTGCCAACACTGAGCCCGTGGAGCTGCCCCAACGGGAGTGGCGTCTACGCGAGATGTTCCCCTATCGACTGAGTAACATGCATGGCTGTCCGCTGAGCGTGATTGTGTGGCCAATAGCGCCGTACATGAACCTACACTGGGAGCAGCCTCGGGGCGTAGATCAAGTCGATGGCCTCGATGGATTGCTGCTGAGGATAATGGCGAGCAGAATGAACTTTACCATTCAGCTGTTGCCCAACGAACCGCCCGAGCTGGTTGGTGGCTCCAGCTACCTAAATGGCACCATGACCGGCGCCTATCGCATGCTCTTAGATCGTCGGGCAAATCTCACATTGGGCTCGGCCGCCTGCACGCCGGAGCGGCAGGCACATCTCACCGCCACATGGCCGTACAGCCAGATTGCATACGTGATTGTCCTGAAAGCGCGCGGCAGGTACAGCAACTACGAGATCATGCTGTTCCCCTTCGAGCGCTACACTTGGCTGCTGCTGGGCGGCCTGGCCCTGGTGCATCGTGGCCTGCGGCGCTACTGCCGTCTGCCCGCTCCGGTGGTGGCCGGCTGGCTGCTCTGGACCTTCGTTGTGCGCGCCTGCTACGAGGGTTCCGTGTTTAACTTTCTGCACAATTCACCGTCCAAGCCCATGCCGCACACCTTTGAGCAGATGGTGCGCGCAGGATTTGGTATCATCACGGATCATGCCACACACCGCATGGCGCTGAAGGTGCAGGCATTCGACGGGCTCATACAGGTCAGACCCGGCCAGCCGGTGGACATATTCGATGCACTGCTCGAGGAGCCACCGCTCACGGGCGCCTTCACCAGCGTCACCTTCCTCGCTTACCACCTCACGCAGCACAAGGAGCGGCGCCAGCGCTTTGTCATACTAGCAGAGAAGATCCTTGACAACATGCTGTGCATCTACTTTCCGCGCGACTCCTACTTCCTGGAAATTGTCAATAATTTGCTGTTCAACATGCGCAGCTTTGGCCTCTTCCAGCATCATTCGCAGCGCCTCGCCTGGGCCAATCTGCCGACCACAACGGATGGCAAGGGTTCGCGCAGGGCCAGGCTTCTGGCCTCGACTGTGGATGTGCGGGCGGGCTTTGCCGAGTCCATGGGCTTCATTGTGGCCGCTCTGAAGTGCCTTTGCGGCGCCTTGGCTGTGGCCACTTGTGTGTTCGGCCTGGAGCTGCTCAGCCGGCGGCCACGCTGGCGTCGCTTGGCTTTGATAATGGAAAGGTTGTAGCGAAACAATTTTGTCTTATTTTAATACATAATCGTGCAAAGCTTAAGCTACATAACGATTGGCAACATCCAGAGCTCGGCGGAAACGGGAATGCCTCAGTGCCAGACGCTCCAGTACAAAGACCATGCCAGCGAGCAGCTGGAGAACCATTAGGCAGAAAAAGATGCCGCTCAGCTGCGCAATGGTGAGGGGCTGAGGCTCCGCGCTGCGGCGCTTGGCCATGCGCTCGATGCGATCGAGATAAATGCGGCGATAGCGATAGATAATGCCCGACGACATCATGGCCATGAGCAGGCGATCGATGCGACGCTTTAGGTACGAGTGCGGCCGCATGTAGAGCGTCAGTGGGGCAGTCATTAGGGCACCGGGCAGCACGGTCAGACGTCGCCTGGTCGGGCCGGATAGATAGTCAAACTCGTAGACGGTGGGCTGCAGTAGCGGCACGGCTATCCCCGGATCATCCTCGTCGCGCAGTCGCAGCAGCGACGCCTCGTGGCTCCGTAACAAACGAACGTTTGAGCTGAGCAGCGAGTCGCGGAATACGCCCCTCAGCGCTGGCAGCATGTAGAACTCATAGCCCTTGGCCACCACCTCCGCCAACGACTGCAGCGGTGTGCGCACCTGAGCATCCTGCAGGATCAAATAAAGCTGGCCCGTGTAGGCGGCACGCAGCACCAGCGTCTGGAGCAGCCACATGACCAGCAGGTAGCGTGAAAAGTTACGCCGCGGCGTGTGCAGCGCCAAGCCGCCGAGAAGGCTGTACCACAGGCCCAGACACGGCAATCGATTGCTTCTCCCCAGAACCAGCTCCCGCAGCGCCGGCACCGGCATCAGCTGCAGCACGGCAATCAGGCTGAGACCGATCAGCAAACTTACAATCAGACAGGACCAGATGATGTAGCCAAATGGTTTCATGAGTCGCTCCAGCGGCTTCATTGTTCCGCCGCCCGGTATCACCAGCACAATGGGAAAATTCGTATAGGAAATGCTCGGCAGCATCACATCGGCACGTTCCTTGCTGTACATGAAGCACACGAATGTGATGTTGGCTTCGCCCTCCAGTATCTGCAAAGAGCATTTAAAATTATCGTCTTAAAGTTAAGGAAAAGTGCAGATCTCTTTACCATTTTGAGTATGCCCGTGACGCTGCCATTGGGCATTATTTGTCCACGATCTTTGTCCTGACGCTCCACCAGATTGATGGTGAAATTCATGCGTTCCGCCAGTGAGTTGAAGATCATTCCCTCGATGCCGTGCAGACGGCGACCGTTGGGCGAATTGGCATCGTCATCGATGCGCACATAAGGCCGATGCTCAAAGGTCACTGCGATCAGTTCACAGCCATGCATGTTCGTCAGTTTGCTGGGAAACAGCTGCCGCCTGAGTCCAAAGTTCGCAGTGGAGGGCACGCCCTGAAAGGAGCCATAGTACACGGGCAGCGACGACTGGCAGCGATGCGGTCCGTACGGATAGTATGTGTACATTTGGACAGTGCCGCGTCGCGTCAGGACAACATTCACGTTAAGCACGTAGATGTTGAGCAGACGCCGGAACATGATCTTGATGGTTTCCAGCGGCTGCGCCTCCCTGCCCGTGTAGACTATGATGTAGTAGCCGTTGCGCTTGTACGCGCTGCCCGGCTGCAGGAGATAACGCTCCAGTCGGATGTAGGCACGCAGGCTGTCCAAAAACCAGATGGCACTCTGTCGCCCCGTCACCCCACTGGGCGGTGGCAATTCGTCGAGGTTCTCCGTCATGTCCATGCGCTCATCCTCGAGGAGAAACTGAATTTTACCCGCACCCGAGGCTCGGTCCAAGGTCGCGTCAATCAGATCGTTGTGATAGCCCCGACTGCCCGCGCTTGTGGCGAACTGCACGAGGGCCAGGGCCGTGCTTGTCGACTGCCCATAGTAATGGTCAATGGCCCACACAATGGCGTAGACGAGGCTCACATTGTGTACGGCGCCCGGCAACATGATTCCCGGGTGGCTCCTTTGCAACTGTCGTCTGTTTGGATGGCATTTTTTGTTCCGTCTGTTGCATGTTTCGCTTAACGAGAGTCGTTATTGTAATGTTGCGTGTTGACCGTCTGTCTCCAATATCGCAGGCATCTGCAAATGCATTATAAATTAGCATTAAATGTATATTATTTACTCAAACTATATGTTTTTACAACATGTGTGGGTCGATCGGAAGAATCTTCGCCACCACCTACTACGCTGGCACTTATAAATGCCTTTTAAATGAAATTAAAATAGTTTTGTTTACATTTTTATATTCAGTTATTTACAGCGAAGCTTCGGTCAGTGCTGGCAAACAGCACTCTTCCCGTTTCTAATGGTCAGTACTGGAAAACGCTTGCTCTGCTGATGAGCCGATAGATCGATACGCTGATCGTCTCTAAATAACTGCGTTACCAGCACCCCCACCCCGCGTCATCAACTAACGGAATGCAGCGGGCTTCTTTGATTTTTCATAGTTTTGACCATGAGTAATTTCACAATATTATCTGTGGCTTGGCATGATAAATGTACATCAGCAGTCAAATTCTAAAGGTTGCTGTACTGCGGTGCAGTTATTCGGGTGTATGTGTGTGTGTCTTTTCCGCTGACTGCAGACGAAACCACAGCAGCACCCGCTGCTGCTGTCCCAGAACAAAAAAAAACAGTCTTTTCTTTTGTTTCTCGTGTCTGGACAAGCAGAAAAGCAGAAACGAGCTGATCTCAGCCATTTGATCTCCGCAATGGTGACACACATTTCGATCGGGGCGGCAACGCTGCAAGAATTTCTCGGAGCAGAATAAACTCCAAGAAGCTATGAAGGGCACACCGCTGCCCACCACTTACCAGGGACGGACTTCTTTGGGCCCAGGGTAGTGCATAAATTATGAAATGTAAGTACGCATGGAGTGGTTAATCATATTTTGAAGTAATTTCAAATTCTTACTTAAGGTAAGGCCTTACGATGACCTCCACCCGTTCGCGGCACCCCGCCCCTGGACGGCGACGTATTGTTTACAGTGCATCATTTACGCTGATTCTGTGGAACTTTGAGCAAGGTTTTTTGCTTGCTGCTGTGGAAGGGGCCACAGATCGGGGGCACACACATACGGAAACGATGTTCTGTTCGCGCGGTGCGTGCAAAATGCAGAAAAACCACCACCGACCGGCGGGTCACGAATTTGCCAACGTCAACAGTTTGCCGGTCCACCCCACTGGTCGCCGTGGGTGCAAAAAATCTATTTGGGCCAGTGTCGTGAGAGCTGCAGCAGTCAGTCGGCGAACGAGCTCCGGCGTATATCGATCGATCTTCATTCCAAGAGCGATACTTGTCCGAAATGAGATTGCAGTGCCTGTTGTTACTGGCGCCATGCCTGGCGCTGGTGGTCCTTGGCCAGGAGACGGCCCCACAAGCCACAGTCACGACGGGGGATGCTGGCGAGCAGGAAAACCCCAACAATGGCACCGCCGACACCAAGCCACGAATGCCCACTGAGGAAACGGTGAGTATTCCAAATGGGAGTGTTTGTGGGTGATTTTTTACACTCCCGCTCCTGTACAGATCCTTGGCCAGATGCCGCCCATCACACCCTTGCGCAGCGGCGTGCCCTCCCTAGATGCTTTCTACATGCTCTTCCCCGCACTGGGCAGCCTTTTGCGGTGGGGAGCACTCTTTCCGGCACCCACGATCCTCGGCGCCGTGCCCGATTCTCTCCAGCCCACGGCGGCGGCCTCAAAGGTGGTCCTAGTGCTGGCGGATGATCCCACGGCCAAGACGCGTGTTCCCCGCCAGGATGCCCCACCACCAACGAACCCGTTCGGCCAGTTCCTCGCCCAAATGCCCAACGCAAACTTTGCCCAAGGCTTGATGAATCCCGCAAACTTCAATCCGGATAACTTTAACCTCGGACAGATGGCCCCCAATGTAGGCCAGGCACTTACCAACATGCAGCTGCCACCGATGCCAACAATGCCGCAATTCGGTTTCGAGAACATCCTGGGTGCCGCTCCTCCACCGCCGCCCGCTGCTCTGCCGCCAGCACCAGCAGAGCCTGCCCCTCCAGCAGACAAGCCAGCCGATGAACCAAATGCCCCGGTGGCAGCTCCGAATCCCTTTGCGTTCCTCAACCCCAGCAACTTTGATATGAACCAAATGTTGGGTCAGGCTCAACAGAGTCTGCCCCAGATGCCCAGCGGCGTGGATTTCTTCAGCAATCTGCGACAGATGTGGCCGGGAGCACCGCCCGCCAGTCCTGCGCCCGGCTCTGAGGGCCAGGCCTCAGACATATCCGAGATTCGTGTGAGGCCCGAGGAGGCCGCCTACTCGCAAGAGAACAATCTGGATGAGAAGGAGCGTGTGCCGCTGCTCTGGTTTCGCATGCCCATGAACCGTCAAGGCGATGAGGGAGAGTCCAAGCCGCTTGAGGATCTGCGCGTTGAGGCAAAGCTGAGAGCGTTCGAGCGCCAAGTGATTGCTGAGCTCAAAATGCTGCAGCAGATTGAGCGCGTGGCCAGGGAGATGCGCTCAAGCGCCGCCTCCAGCAGGGGCAGCAGCACAAGCGGCTCCCCCTTCAAGATCAGCTATCCCCTGAGTCGCACTCCCGTTCACAAGATCACACGAGCAGACATTGAGCAGGCGCTGCGCGACGACTACGTCCGTCGTCTGCTGCACAAGGAGGCGCAGCGGAAGTCGCGAGCCAATCATGCCGCCTTCAAGCGCCAGACCATGCCCGCGGATGCGTCCATGTCCAAGGAGGATATTGTGAAGATCATGGCCTATGCCTATCGCATGGCAACAGAGCAGCAAACGGCAGAGAAAAACAAAGAGGACAAGATCTATGCTGCCTACCGCGCAACTGGAGATAAGCCACAACAGCAGGAGCGACAGATGCAGCAGCAACCAATGATGATGCAGCAGCAGCCCATGCCTCAGATGCAACAGAGGCAGTGGGAAGCCGAGAAACAGGAGGCTAAAATGCAACAGAATCCCATGATGATGATGCAGCAGGAGCAGCAGAGGCAATGGGAAGCCGAGCAAAACGAAGCGAAAATGCAACAGCAGAGACAGATGATGGCGGAACAGCGGCCCATGATGATCCAGCAGCAGCAGAGGCAGTGGGAAGCCGAGCAAAAAGAGGCCAAAATTCAGCAGATTCCCATGATGATGCAGCAGAGGCAGTGGGAAGCCGTGCAAAAAGAGGCCAAAATTCAGCAGAATCCCATGATGATGCAGCAGAGGCAGTGGGAAGTGGAGCAACAGCAGCAGCGACAAATGATGGCGGAGCATGCGCAAATGCAACAGCAGCCCATGATGCACATGCAGCAGCGAATGGAGCAGCAGCAGCAGCAGCAGCACCAACCGATGATGCAAGAACCCATGCGAATCGAGCAGCAGCCCATGATGATGCAGCAGCGACAGATGGCAATGGAGCCGCCACAAATGCAACAGAATCCCATGATGCAAATGCAGCAAAGGCAGTGGGAAGCGGAGCAAAAAGAGGCCAAACTGCAGCAGCAAAGACAGTGGGAGGCTGAGCAAAATGATGCCAAAATGCAGCAGAATCCTATGATGATCCAGCAGCAGCAAAACGAGGCCAAAATGCAGCAGCAGCAAAGGCAGTGGGAAGCGGAGAAACAGGAGGCCAAAATCCAACAGAATCCCATGATGATGCAGCAGCAGAGGCAGTGGGAAGCGGAGAAGCAAGAGGCCAAAATCCAACAGAACCCAATGATGATGCAGCAGCAAAGACAAATGACAATGGATCCCATGCAAATGCAGCAGCTGGACTCAGCCCGTCAATGGGGTGAGCCCCAAGGTGACGCAGGAGAAGAGGGTGAAGCGATGCTGGGCGAGGCAGAGCCACAGATGCCGGAGGTACCTGGTCAGGCACGCCACAAAGGTAATCTCTTTGGCGTATTCCGTAATCGTGAGCGTGAACGTGACCCAACTTTGTCATCTGTAGGAGTCGACATGCTGGGCCTGGGTGGCAACAAGCGCAAGAAGTCCAAGCATGGCCAGGGATCGCCCACAGTGATCAACTACTATGCCGTGCAGCAGCAGCAGCAACGGCCACAGCCCAGCTATGGCACTAGCTACGGTGGCGGCGGCTACGGATCGAATGCTTACGGAGGCGGTGGCTATTCAAGCGGCGGCTACTCCAGCGGAGGGTACTCCAGCGGAGGTCATTCGAGCGGAGGGTACTCCAGCGGCGGACATTCGAGCGGAGGGTACTCTAGCGGCGGCTATCGGGCTGCCCTGGGCAATGAGGAGGTCGACGAGATGCTGCGACAGCATCAGACAATGGCGAGGGTAAGATGAGATCTAATGAAACCAAAATCCACCACACAAAGCACCCACACACCCACGCCACACCCACGATTACACGTAGACACGTAGTTGCCTCCATTTGAACCATTTCATAAGATTCATTCGCCTCTCTTTTGGTTTGGTCTCTCTCTCCGTGGTCCTCCTCATGTCATTAAACAGGCGACGCATTTCAGACAATAAATCCCGGCAATCCCAACGGAGTGCAGCAGCAGGAGCAGGAGGAGCGAAGTATTAACCAGACGACCCCACAATTGACGCCAACACAGCGACTACACAAAAGGTTAGCCATCTTTCAGAGATCTTTGGGTTGCGGCTGTGCCAGTTCCCATTGCCGCTGCGGCAGGGGGTGCCAATGCAGCGGTGCTGGCGGTGCAGATGCCATTCAGGGCTGTCGCTGTCGCTGTCGCAGCAGCATCAGTCGCGGGCGAAGCGGTCGCCATCGACGCGATGCCGAATACGGCACCCTGGAGACGATCGATGAGAGTTCGCTGAACGCACTGCGCCGGGAGTACAAGATGGGGCTGAAGGAGATCACACTCAGTCCGGATGAGGATCCTGCAGAGGCGCTGATGCGCTACAATGCCGCATCCATACGCGAGGCCCTAGAGAGGGCCAGTCGAGAGCCGCTGGAGATTGGCGGCGATGACTATGCCGAAGGTGTTCAGCAGGAGCAGGAGGAGGAGGAGCTACAGCAGCAGCACCCACATCGGCAACACAACCATCACCATCATCCTCATCATCAGCCAGAGCAGAGCTACACGCCACAGGTGACGAGCACAACGGAGACAACAGCCAAAAGTGTGGCAGCCAAGGATGCACCTGATGCGGATGCGGATCAAATGCAACAGGATTCAGCGGTTGCTGCTTCGCATCCAGGAAACGAAACACTTGCAAATCAAACGGAGGATCCACAGGAGGAACTCGTCCACCTGCACAGCTTCATCGCGGAGCTAAAGACGGAACTGGCGCAGCTTACGGAGAAATATTTAAAGCTGAAAACGAATTTGGCTGTCTCAAAGTTGGAGCAGGAGAAGAAGGTAGCAAAATTAGAGAAGAAGGTTGAGGATAGTCCGGTGAGCACCACAGCAAGCGGTGCACAGGCAACCACCACAGAAGCCAGCAGCAGCAGCAGCACTAGCAGCAGCACTAGCCCCCGCACCAGTACCGCCACCACTGCCACCAGTCCCACTCCAAGGCAATCTCCAGGCAAGCTGTTGCATGCGAATGCCATGGGCAAGACGGATGAGAGCCTTGATGGTGTGACTGCCTCCGCCTCGGATCTGGCCATGTCCCATATGGAGTACGAGGACGAGAAGACCTGGCAGCGACTGCTGGCGAATCGTGGCTATGACACCGAATATCTGACAAAGTCGCACGAGCGCCAGTATGCCGAAGGCCAGGACCTGGAGCTGCCCAAGGCAGCTGACAACTATGAGCCGAATGGCTCTACCGAAGACGCCTCCTATGCCGACTTTCAGTCCAATTCGGAGAACAAGGCCAAGCGCTCCTCCACCTATTCCTCCGTCAGCGTCAAGCAGCAGGCGGCGCTTCTGAATGCGGCACTTGATGACGATGATTTCGATGCCAGTGTCGCCGCCATTGCCACAACACCCAGTCCATATGCGATGCGGGGAAAGTTTGTGCGTCGCCGCAGCACTGTGAGCAGTGGCCAAAGAAGGGGCAGGGCACACAATCGGAGCGACAATGGCTGGCAGCGAGCTACGCGGCAGGCAAAGCTAACCACCAGATTGAAGCCGGTGCCGGTGCCGGAGGCAGCAGGCGGCTCGCGACATGTCGCCAGAATCAGTGGCAGTAAACTGGATCAACTGGTGGACGTTCTCAACGATCTGCTCCAACTGCAGGTGCAGCGCGAAAGGCAGAACTCTGCCTCAGGAACAGGCGTCAAGTTAGTGCAATCCAAGCGCCCGAGCAGCAGCGTCTTGAAGCGCAAGCGCGTGCGTCGCAGGCAGCAGAAGCCACAGAGCATCAGCAAGAGCATTCCATTATAAGAGCATTATATTCCTAACCAATTTAACCATAATCATAGCTTACATTAGGCACGGCAGGGTGTCGGCCATACATATATAAGACATCTTCCCACATAGTCCACTTATCACTCGAATCCACTAATCATTTCATGCATCCCTTCTTCATTTTCATGGTATCCACACACCATCGTCTATCGTCCATCGTTCATCTTCAGTCAATCATCAGCATCAACCGCATCTGAATCAGAGTCAGAGACTGAGTCAGAGTCCGATCCAGTTTTGGGCTCAAAATACAGTTTCAAAGAGGGGATATTGCAGCCGTATATGGGCCTGCTGCCAATATCTCATCCCGATGATCCCTGGACCCACAAAGCGTACGATCCCCACCATGCTTTGTACACTGGAGGCGGCAGCTATGCGGCATACCTTAAGGATAACGATGGACGGCGTCGCCGGGATACGCACATCATGCCACAGCTAGCGCATCAGCGAAGTCTACTCACACCCGATATGCTGGAGCGTTTGTTGCGCATCAAAATCGAGTTCCAGCGACGCTTTCCACATCTCTACAAGACCATGCTCAGTCACCATACCAACCAGACACGCGTAGAGGTCCAGCCACCGGTGCTGGGCAGGAAGACAGCAGTCTTAAAGGAAGCCAAGCCCAAGTATGCGTCGGACGAGGGGCCCGTCTATGAGCTGGGCGCCGCCGAGCGTGGACTCTTTGAGGAGGAGGAGGAGGATCAAGCGGAGGCAGCGGCAGACCCAGAACCGAATCTAGATATAAAGGAGAGCCAAGAGTCGAGCAACAACAACAACGATGATGAGGGCATGGACACCTCTGGCAGAAAGGAACAGGATGACAATGAACTCGATTACTTTAACTTCGATGATGATGATGATGATACGGATAATATTGATGATTAGACTTTTGCTATTTCAAAATAAAAACAAAAACCCAACAATTATTAATTAAAACAAACAAATCATGTGCTTACTTTTTTCCCACTACAGAAAGAAGCTCTAAATCAGCTGTTGGCAAGCAGTGAACGTGTGCAGTGCATGCACACACACCCACACAACAGAGACGAAGTCAAAAACGTTTCTTGCTTCTCTGCCGCTGCGTTAGCCAAGCATACGTAAAAGCTTCGTGTGGCCGCAGCGGCAGCGAACATGCTGCGGCTGTTCGCTGTGGGTGGGCCGAAGCCACACGAAGCTTTTACGCTGTGCGTGGGCCGACTGCGCTGCACGCTGCACACTGCACACGACGCTGCCGACGCTCTGCTCTAAATCCACAACGAAATCTTTAGACCCAAGTGGCACGAATATTTATTGTAAAACAAGAAAATAAGCAATTATATAACAAGAAATTTAGACAATTTAAGAATGTGTCGAATAATGTCTGAAGAACTCTGAATTCAGTGTGCAGAGAATTGCATTGCCGAGGATTATACAGGGAAAAGCTCTTGGCTAATCTCTTGCGGAATCTGGAATCTCTGTACAGGCTGGCAAAGCATATTCGCTGGTGCTGCTGCTGTTGGTCGTGCAGCACCTGATGAAGGAGATGCCATGCGATGCTTCAATTTGTGCCAGAATCTCCTTACGTGTCTGCGGATCCAGTTTCTTTTGATGTATGCAACTGCAGCTGCTGCACACACCAATGAGACCTTCAATTACAGCTGGAGCTTTACCCTTGTAAAGAATAAAATCTACAAATTGCTGACTGCAAATGGGATTATGGGAATATAGAATACAATTCGTAGAGCGATCAACTTGGAGTACTTACAGCTCCTGGGTTAGTTTTTCAATTTTGTGTTGCCCATCCCGCTGGGCTTCCTGCTGCTTGACCCTTTCCATTGCGATTCGTGCACTTTCCCTAACGGAATGTTTTTTGAACCGCTCCAGGCGTCGGATTTGCTGTTCATGTTTGATCATTTTCTCATAGCCATAGGACAGCTGCTGCTCCTTCATTTTCAGCTGGAGACGCATCGGCAAAGGTAGTGAAAACAAAGGGGAAAAAAGTGTTTATTTTCATGGATGTACCTGCTTCAACTGCTCTTCCTTGGCCGCTGCTTCCAAGACAATTTTGCGATAAGCTTCTTGTTTTTCAGCAGCCTTCCACCGATAGCTTTTGATTTCTTCGGTGTAGCTGGATATCTTCAGTTGGTCGGCCTTCGTCTTTACCCTCAGCTCGCCCGCCAGCTTCTGGTACTTGTCCAGCTGCGTCTGGACATTCTTCAGATCGGAGAGAATCTGCTGCACACTGAAGTACTTGGGCTGCTGAGGCTTAGCTGCCCTGACAGTCGCTGAATATTCGCGCTCCTCCTTTAGATCCCGATCCAGTAACGCGATGAGCTCCTTGCTATTGTCGAGATCTTTCCGTGAGTCCAGCAGCTCAGCAGTCGCCTTCGCCAATAGCTGCTCCAGATGCGCATTGCTGTTTGGGGATAGCCAAAATGGGGTCATAGTTCAACGGGGGTAATAGCTCTGACCACTTACAGTGCCATTTGCTTTTTCGATTCAGCCACTACCGATTCGATGGTGCTGTTCTTACTCTTTAGGGATGCATTCAGTATTTTTAGCTGATTTTCGTGCTCGTCCCGTTGTGCCTGACAGTCACACAGCACCTCCTGCACCCTTTGCTGCGGCTCCTTTAGCTTTTCCTGCTGCTGCTCCTCCATCCTTTCCTGCTGCGCCTTCAGCTTATCCTCGAGCTCCAGCTGCAGGCGATTCATCTGCTCGCTGTGACTCTTGGTAATACATAGGATCTGTGCCTCCGTGAGCTCCTTTTGTTTGTGCAGCTTGTCTATCTCGCGGTACAAGTGCTGCCTGAACGCATACTGTTGCCCGAGGGTTACTCCACACACCAGATCGATGTTCTCCACGATGGTGTCCATTTGTCGGCTCTGTGGAGGAGATGCAGAGAGAGTGAGAGCGTTGAGCTCTGAGCCAAAACACGGAGCTCAGTCGGTGCTTGCCCTACCAGTAAACATTTCATCTGGCCCAGAAGCTTATGTTTCTGCTGGGATGCAGCGAACTCATCGTTGGCCAACTGAACGCCCTCCAGTTGTTCGTAGAGCAACATGAAGCCCGCTTCAATGGCAGCCTGGCAGCGATTCTTCAGATCCTGCACACTTTCCGTGTCTGACCACAAAAGAAAAGAAGTTTAGAAGCTTGGGCTCGGAATCTACCAATCGAAACTCACGCAAACTCAGTATCGAATCAACTTTTTTGACCAGCCACTTGCTTCTGTCATTGATAGCGAGGGGCAGAAATTTGTAGCTGCCCAGCAACCGGGACTCGTGCGGTTCCAGAAACTCCAATGTTTGCACAAACTCCGATTGAATGCATTTCAGCATATTGAATTGTCGCTCAATGGCAGGGTCCTTCTTCCATGCGAGACTCCGGAACGGCTGCTCAGCCGGGCTGCTCTTGGATGCTGGCTTGTCTGCATCTGTCTTGGGCTCTTGGGCAGGGTTCTGACTCTGGCACGAGGAGGAGTCCAATACTGGCTTGGGCATTGAGTCAATGCGTGTGGCACAGGACTCTCCTGTAGTGCCACGAGGCGACGACATCCGCGATCGAGCAGGAGTTGCCGACGCAGAGCTCTCATGATTCGTCGCCTGTGGAAGATTTATTTGTAAATGAATCAAAACCCCATCCCCAGCCCTCCCTGTAAGGTTCCAACTCACCAATTGGTTAATTTTGAAGGCCCGCAACTGGCTGGCTCTGGTCTCTGCAATGTATCGAAGGGAGAGCCTAATTAGTTGGATTCACATGAAGAGACATCGACTGGGATACTCACGCCGAACACTATTCGTACTTGATGGCATTTGTGACATCTATAAAAGACAACAACAAACAAAGGACAACCAATTAATATTATTAGATTAAAATTAATAATACAACAATAATAATTTTAAGTGTGTAAAGTGCAAGGTATAAATATTGTTTTGTTTTAAATAGACTCTACTTGACTCTGGCAATGTGGCATACTGTGGAAGTGCCAGCTGTGACAGCAAAGGCCCAAGTTGCTGGCCCTAAAATTTGGAATTCTAGTTACAGGTTTTATCATGTTTCGAGCAACTCTCGGCCAAACGCCTCCCACAGCAAAGCGAGGGGGAGACGCCTCAAGAGCCGAGGAATTACTCCATAAACTCCACCCTAAACCAATCTTTGATACATCTGTAATGAAGGGGAGGCCTCTTGGGGGTTTGTTCAATAATTTGACATGATTAACTCGTGATTATTGTGAGCCATTCCAAAGATTTCCCCCGGGGTAATGGCAGCAGGCAGCAGTCCAAGTAAAAATCGAAAAAAAACACTCCTCAAGCAGTCGTCGGTCGGAGCAGCCATGCAGTTTCAGTGCCTTCAATGTTTGGCGCTGTCTGCCTGGATTGCAGTCACCAGTGCATCGCCTGAATCTGTGTTAGCTGCGGCACTGGCCCAGGTGGTGCACCGCTCAGAGATGTCGGCCAGAGGCACACTATATATACACCTGCAGGTGAGCGTTGAGGCAGCGCGTCCATACCTTGAGGCGCTGCTAACAGAGGTGCTGCAGGAGCTGCCATCCTCGACGCCGCCGCGCCGCATCTCCTCGCAGCAGCCCATGGAGTACAAGCCGTATGTGCACGCTGTCCTGCTGTTGGTCAACGATCTGCAGGCGCTCCAGCAGCTGTACGGCAAGCTGCGTGCCACCCAGGATCTGTCGCACACTCTCATCCACATGTCGGGCCCGACGCACGCCTACGAGGAGCAGGTGCAAGCGGCCCTGCAGCTGCTCTGGCGCCTCAGCGTGCTCAATGTGGGTCTGGTGCTGCGCACTCCCGCCGGATCTATCCTCATGGTAAGCTACTTTCCCTTCAGTGCGGTGCACGGCTGTCAGGTGATCCGTGCGAGCATCGTGAATCGCTATGAGCTGGCGGCTGGGCGCTGGGCCAGCTCTGAGTACTTTCCCCCCAAGCTGGGCAACTTCTATGGCTGTGTGCTGACCTGCGCCACCTGGCAGGATATGCCGTACTTGGTGCTGCGGCGAGAGATCAGCGGCGGCAATGGCTTCGTCGGCATCGAAGGCGCCCTGCTGCAGTTCATGGCCGAGAATCTCAATTTCAGCGTGGGCCTCTACTGGATGAACAAGGAGGAGGTGCTGGCCACCTTCAATGAGTCCGGCTGGGTGTTCAATGAGGTCAGGACTCAACCTTAAGTCTGGCAGCCTTCAGTCGTAATGTTTATCCCCTTTTGCAGATCTTTGGCCAACATGCGGACTTCTCGTTGGGTGGATTCCACTTTAAGCCCAGCGCTGGCAGTGAGATTCCCTACTCACAGTCCACCTACTACTTCATGAGCCACATCATGTTGGTGACGAATCTGCAGAGCGCTTACTCGGCCTACGAGAAGTTGGCCTTTCCCTTCCATCCGCTGGTGTGGCAGGCCATTGGCTGGGTCCTGGCCCTCGGCTGTCTGCTGCTCCTCGCCATCGATCGACGCTGGAAGCATCAGCTGCCACAGCAGCCCTACTATCAGCTGCTGGTGCTCACCCTGGGCGGCAATCTGCCCGACTGGCATATGCCACGACGAGTGCCTGGCCGCCTGCTGCTGCTCACTTGGCTCTTCTCCACTCTGGTGCTGCGCAGTGCGTACCAGTCGGGCATGTACCAGTTGCTGCGGCAGGATACGCAACGGAATCCTCCACAGACAATTGCCGATGTGCTCGCCCAGCGTTTCACCATACAGCTGATGGAGGTGAATGCCGCACGCATTCTGGACAGCCTGCCCGAGCTGCGGCCCGAGCAGTTGGTCTATCTGAGGGGCAGCGAGTTGCAGTCCTTTCTGTCGCTGGCCCAGAGCAGCGGCTCCTCCGCCCGGCTGGCCACCCTCACGCCCTACGAGTACTTTGGCTACTTCCGCAAGGTGCATCCGATGAGTCGACGGCTGCATCTGGTGCGGGAGCGCATCTACACGCAGCAGCTGGCCTTCTATGTGCGGCGTCACTCGCATCTGGTGGGTGTGCTCAATGGCCAGATCCAACACGCTCATGGCCATGGATTTCTCGAGCACTGGACGCGCCAGTATGTCAGCGCTGTGGATGAGACCGATGAGAGTGTGGCCCGGATCTCGTCCACATCGTACAGCACACTGGATGGCCTCGATGGCGATCCACGGCTCACCGACACCGAGGAGGAGCAATCGGCCACTGCGCATCGCAATGTGCTCTCCATGCGGGAGCTGGCGGCACTCTTCTGGCTCATCCTGTGGTCCAATCTCTTTGCGGTTCTGGTGTTTGCCCTGGAGCATCTACAGCATAGTCGCGCCAAGTGGTCGCAGGAAAAGCCAAGGAATATTTAAAGAAATTCTCATGGTAAACTTCCAATCATCACACTGGGTGCCAGCTATACACAAATAAATAATGTTGGATTTATTTGCGGGGCCAAAATGTTTTAATTAAATTACTTCATAATCCCCCCCTAGAAGCAGAGGACACTGCTACAGCTTCATGCCCCATCCTTTGTCCAACCCATCGCATCTCATGGCAAAACCCATCCAGGCTCGTGGCTGGGGGTGTTGGATAGTTGGGCAAAGTGTTCGCTGCTCGTATCGTAAAAACGCAAAACGTTTTATCTAAAAGCGATAAATTTTGGAAAACCAAAACTTGCGCAAGCGAATCAACCCACCACCCAAGCCGCAGCCACCACCACAACGGGGGGACATTTCCCTCTTTGCCCCCACACACACACACACACACACACATAGACATCAATTTTGTGTGTGCTTCTTGCTGGCACATCCTTGCAACATTTGCGGCTGCCGTTGTCGCCATCGACTGGTTACATGTAAGTGCTGCCCCACTCTGCTCCACCCACACTTTAGCAAACACTCTCTGAACTGAAGAGAACCCATTGCCATCGCCATCGCCATTGCTTCAGCTCCATTCCAATCTCTATGCTGCTTTGCTTATCGCCTCGCACATTTGAGCTTTTTGAAATTTCTCGCCACAAAAACTGTCTGTAATGGGCGCAACGTTGCCGGCTTCCCGTGGCCTGCCCTCACCCCTCCCCCCCCCCCCCCCCCACTCTAATGCTCATCCTTGCCCTGCCAAGTAGTCAACGACATCGTCTTCGTCCTTGTCGTTTCGCTGCAAAATTCAAGTAAATGTATTGAACTTAAGCTCATTGCCTCCGATGTCGCAGTCAGCGTCTGAAACGATACATCCCTTTCGCCAGAAGACCATCCCCAAACCCCATTCAGCCCCAATCCCCACTCCATCCCCCCTCTCGTTCGTCTTTAATACGCTGCGCTGTTTAGTAGAGAAAAAGAAAGACGAAAAACTTTATGCAATTCCTTTTATAAAATGTTTCCTATTTTTGGTTTTTATGCATCATTCATGGCTGGGCCTGCTCGGACGATGAACAACGAGGATAAAGTTTTTGACCAGTAAAAAGGGCAACAAATCGATGGAATTAACCTTTTTCTACGCACATCAGAGGTTACTTTTTACCATCACTTTTGATCAGAGGTTTGCAGTGCATAAAATGAAAGTATCAATCGTGTTTGAGGAACAGCGTTATCGATGCAGCGTTCCATAAGTTTTTGCATAAGATCTAAGAACTAAGGAGCTGTTATGAATTACTGAAGATAATTGTTTAAAGCGTCAGAGATTACAATGTGGAGAGCTTCAGTTACCCAAAAGAAACTAAATTGAAAAGCTCTTCTATAGTTTTTGACATTACCAAAAGCTATGGTTGAGTGTAGTTGATTCTTAGATGTATTTAGGGAATGTATAAAGTATACAATTTTGGAGTTTGAATAAATAAAAACAAAAATATTTACAGTCATTAAATTCCTTGTTAGAAAACCAATCTAAAAAGGAAAACAAAATATAACCAATAAGCCAATTGGCAGCTAAAAGCATTGCAGCAGAAGTTTAGTTGTAATTCCCGCTCCCTTCCCTGCTTCCGCTGCATCGCTAATCGGCTTGTAAATGATTTGCGCTTAGGGTGCTCGTCCAATGTTATGGCTTGTGGTAGGGGTTGGGGGGCTGAGCTCAACTTTCAGATCCGTTACCCAGCCGGCAGCGCACCAACAGTGGCTTTTTGCAGCTCAGTCAGTGGCGATGGCGTCTCGTCTGGACTACTTTCGGCAATTGCCACTGCCACTGAAACAGCCACAGCCACGGGCAGAGGCAGTGACACTGCCACAGCTATAGCCAGAGGGCACTGGCGGTGGCAGTGTGGCAATACGTTGGCTCTCGTATGCCAATGAATTTTTATGGCGCGACTTTTACGTCAGCAAACGGGCGGGGCAGAAGGCAAAGTAGAGTTGAATCTGATGGAGCGGAACCCTTCAAGGGCGAGACATGACTGCTCTAAACAAACATATTCATGGCAAAGATTATGCCCGGTGTTTGCGGGTGCTGCTGCTGCTGCTGCTACTACTGTGGCGATTGCACTTAAAAATTAGCATTAAAGGAGCAACCTATTCGGGGACGGAGTACCAGGAATTGTCGCCCTAATGGGTCTGGCGCTGGCTCTGCAGCCACTGCCAATTTCCGGCCGCGAAATTACATCTAATTAGCTAATCAACACAATTATGGTACAACCTGCGGCCAGGATGCGTCGCACAGACACTCACACGCAGGACACAGGCAGAGACAGAGACCGGGTTTGGGGCCACACAAAACCAGACCAAAGTTGGATGGTTGTTGTTCACCATTGCAACGCAACGGAAGTTGCCCAGACAGAGGCAGCAAAACCAAACACCATCATCATCATTATCATTATCATTATCATCCTCGACATCGACAACATTGATGATGAGTAGCCGGTTTAGAGCGGGAGCGGTGGGAGCGGTGGGAGCGGTGGAGTTCGCCACTGAACAGCCGCCACATCCGCACACTCGAACCATCTGTACATCCGCATATCCGCCCTCTGGCTTCAAACTACCGAGCTGCCCAACACACGAACCAATGAACCAACGAACCAACGCACAATGTGGCAAATGTTGGCAATGCAACGCGTGCGCCTCGTGGCCTCATTACAGCCGACCCGAGGTGCTAAATGGAATCTCTGAAGTGGTCAAGATGAGGCTACACAGCAGCATGCAGCTTGGCTGCCAACTCTATTGATGGATATGAAGGAATTTCAATATATCGGCAGCTAAAACATTAATTTATAGCACTACCAAAAATGGTCTCAATATCATGGAAATTATGGCTGCCACAGCACTTACACAGGAAAATTCGACTACGATTAACATGAATTTCGTTTGCATATGTAACGTTGATCCTTTGCCTGGTGCATGCCCAGCTGCATGTGCGGTCTTTATCCAATTATCCAGTGCCATTCGTTAGCTCATTAAGGGAGCAGGAGTCGGAGCTGAAGCTGGAGCTGGAGCTGGAGGAGGAGTCGGAGCTGCATCCGGAGCCGCAGCGGGAGTCGTCGTCGCCGGGCCATCCATCGTCCGTCCATGGTTAATATCCTGTGTCAACTGTTGTCCATTCAATTTGCATTTTTGCAATTATTTCAATTAAATCGACAAAAGAAAACGTCTGGTCCGCAAAGGCAAGGCAGTCGCGGAGGCGGAGGCGGAGGCGGAGGCAAGGCACGGTCGATGATTGGGTAGCAGACCGTTGGGGAATATAATTTCCTCGCGCCGGATGTGACAATGAATACGCATTAATAAGTGCATACACACAGAGACGCACACATAAACAACCTGGATATATAGTCATATTATATAACTACCTTATTCATGCGATATGTTTGCATGTCCTCTCCGCTCCACTCCATGCCACTCCGCACCCCTTGGGTCGGACATGTTTACGATTTTCGAACTCCCGCAGCCCCACAGCTTGCCACATTCTTTTGTGCCACTGACACTGCCACTGCTGTCGTGGTTGTTGTTGCTCTTGTTGCTGCTGGTAGCTGCGTGCCTTCCGGTAGCTGAATTGATATGGCCTCCCGCTGCCAGACGTCGCCAATCTGTCCTTCGCCTAACCACAACGAGGCGGCATGAATGGCTGGCTAATTTTGTGGAGCTTGCCGCGTCTCCTTGGCTCGCTTTTAACAATATTAATATGCAAAATAATATAAATGCAAGCGACGACAAATGAAGAATAAGCCAGAGGAAGAGACAATGGCACAGGCAAACACACAGCACAGAGAAAAAACGAACGAAAAGAAAATAATGAAGGAATGAAGCAAACAAATTTCATTGTAGAGGCGAGCGTGACATATTCTTCGTCCTCCACAGCAGGCAGTCTTCGTTGTCATTATTGTTGTTGTCTACTCCGGTGATGTTCCCCTGTGCTCCCTGTGCTCCCGTTGTCCCTGTTTCCTGATGTCCTGATGTCCTTGTGCCTGCCACAAGCATGAAATTGGATTTGCACCCAGTACAAGTGATGTGCCTGCCGCCTGTGGTGGTCGCGTATACGTAATCAGATTATTACATGCCGCCTGCTGACTGCTGGCTGGTGGCTGCCACCAGAGCAACAGCCACCGCTTGACACTTTTTCGTGCTGTGCGTGCCATCAAGATGAAATTATATGATTTGAATAATAATTGAATTATAAAATCATAAGCCGGAATCTGAATGGGAATGGGGAAAATATCAGAGTCCCTGCCACATATTCTATCCATTATGATTGCTGCACATGCCACACGGCCACTCGGCCAGTGTCTGCACACGCCATGCATTTTTAAATAGATTTCTGCAATCTTCATTCGATTTCCATTGACACTATGTTTTGCTGCCCAAATGCTTTTGCACAAATGCGATCCCTGTCATTAAAAGTACAAAAAGAAAGGACATAAAACCATGAAATAGACTGGAAAATGGGACTCGCTGGTGATAACAGCGAAATTTCGAGGAAAACAATCAGAGGCAGGCAGCTACGACTTGATGTTAAACCTCAAAAGAAGCTAAAGAAAATTTCGCTCAAATATGATTTTGTGCAGCTAATGCTGAATGGCTTAGCTATGATAATTTTTGCATAAGTATTCGCCAGTCTCCCACCAGACATCCTCATTTAAAACTGTGAATTTGAGTAGCTGCCCGGCGCTGCATCGACCAAGTTCTGAGGAGCCTAACCCTCTGGCTTTGGCCTCCCCTGAATCCTGAATCCTTAAGCCTTAATCCATTATCTTTAGCAATTTGTTTTGCCCAAAAAGTTGTTTTAAAGTGCACCAACCTGGTGCAGTGGACAGAGCACTCTGCTCACCCCCCAAATGAAGTCAAGTGCTTGACCTAGCCGCGCACACTGGGCCAAGTCAGAGAATGGATGCGGAATGGCTGTCAGAGACCAGCTGCTTGGCGGGTCTATGTGCCATGTGGCCCACTGTTATAACTTGATAAAATGGGCATGGCATTTGTCGCCTTCAAATGGTTAACAAGTTTCAGCAAACATCGACAGACATCATTACTTACTGGCAATGCAGGGTCGTCACCGTCTCTTTTCTCTCCCTTTCCACGGGTCTCCGTTCTCCGTTCTCCACTCTTGCACTCTTGCACTCTCTCACTCTCTCCACTCTTCCACTCTGATGCGACTCTTCAGATCGTCTCCCGTTGTAATCATGTGAATCCGCTTAAACTGTCGAAGTGTATTGTGCGTCATTATTCTCTCTCGTGCCATTAGACTTGAATAGTTTTTTGCATACTAAAAGACAACCAGTTTGCCGGCTCGACCAAAGGATACCCAACTTGATGAAACAAATAATAGAAGACAAGTACAGGGTATAAGGAAAAAATCGAAGAAAAAAAGAAGCTCAGAAAACGAGGAACGCAAATCGCAGCGGCATTGATGTCGGTTCGACTTTGCTGCTTATCATTTGTTCATGGATTGCCCATGCACACATACACATAGACTGTGTGTGCATGTGTGTATGGGTGTGTGAATGCGTGTGCTTACTTTGCATTTGCTATTTTTTCCACTGCCAGCTTTGCCTGCTGATGCGCCTGATGCAGCGCCGATGATGATGATGATTATGATGAAGGCGACACTCGACTGCATTTGCACTTAAGTGTGCAGTTCTTAGCATCATCATCATCATCATCATCTTTTATGCTCTCTCTCTCTCTCTCTCTCTCTCTCTCTTGATCATCAACTTATTTAAAGTGCGCGTTGAAACTCTCTGGCTTACCGCCTGTCTCTACCCAAAACTGTCTTGACTGGCGGCTGCATGGAAATTTAAATTTTTTATATTTTATATTATTTCATTTGTACCTACAATTGCGGCCAATTTGGCTTAATTGTTTTTATTAAGAGTTTGGTGCAACACAGAGGAAATCGCGCCCACATGGCGCCGCATCTACCCGGGACACGCCACAGTGCCAACAACAATGCGTATAAATAAATCACTTAAATTTTATTGAGCCCCTCGTCTCCGCACTCACTTTACCAGGGAAAATTGCATTTTAAATGCACACACAAATTGAAAATTGCCATAATATATACACACATACACATGCCTGTGTGTGTGTGTGTGTGTGTGGGTTGAACTTTTGCTTTGGTAATACGTGCCTCATTATAGAGATCAATGGCATGTCCATGCTGCAAAGCGCAATTTGAATGTAAATTGTTGCTCTTTTTAATCACACGCTAGCACACACTCATAAAATTGGTGCTCAAGCATTAAGGATTATCTATAGATACGTTTGCATTATTCATGAACAGAAATCTCAATGCTGGTTGTCACAATTTATTTATTTCCAGGCTGCCAGCTGCCAGCTGCCAGCTGCCAGCTGACATGCGTCTACTTTTGCATTGCACAGCACTGTTGCTGTGCTGCCCAACACTACATTCGATATCAAAACAATATTGTCACTTGTGTCATTATATTTATTAATTAATTGCAAATAGCATAACAATATTTAAATCGTGTGAAAGTCTTTCAATAAGACAAAGTTGTGTGAGAAAGAGAAGCTGTAAATGGAAATAGAAAAATAATGTTAACTCTACATCAGCCACTATTGCTTATGTCTTCAACTTACCCCGTCAAAAGATGTACGCTGTCCGTTAAGAATGGCCATTTTTTATTCAGTGGTTCAAATTTGAGCCGGAATGTGTTGAAATTGTGACTGCTTGTGATTCGTAGTGGCAAGTCTGTATGAAGTGTCGTTTCCCCCTGCCCATCTAACGGAGAGCGTCACATCATTTTACAGGGCGATCCAAGAAGTTTTTACTCGTGTGTGTGTTTGCATATCCTTACTAAAAGAACAGAAGAACAGAGAAACGTGGAGCATTAAATAACTCAATCCTATTACCGATTACACACCGTCTTAGTTATTTGTTTCTATGTTCCCTTTTATAATCATTTCGAATGTAGATTTTAATTTCGATTTTTACCCGAATAATTTGCTCTTATGTAGCCCAAACACAATATGATTTGTGTTGTGTATTATCCTTAGCTGGTTAACTTTGACTTCTACTAGGACTGAATATGGCCTGCTCATTCACATGCCACAAGTTCTGATATTTGTTCGCGACTTCTGAGCTATCCAGCGTAAAATTTACGTTTAGAATGGGCTTCCCACAGGCTTCATTCTGCTTTTCTTTCAAATACCCAAGACAACAGAAGTATTAGCTTGCATTTTGTCACATTTAATTGAATAGTTGAATTTCATTTGCATTCTGATTATGCCCATAAATGTCCACCCATTGGTTGTGTCAAAAGCCCCAAAAGCCACATGGAATGTGTAATGATCAAAAAGTTTCCTTGCTCAGATTCTGTCAGCTTCCGCATCCGCAACAGAGGCGTGTGTGAAGCTCATAAACAAATTATACGCAAGTTGAGAGACTTCCGGGCTTAGGGGCTGCCAAGCAGTCGCTCCTCTTGTGGCTGCCACTTCTGTCCAATCCTTGGAGCCCGTACATTCTGGCAGCTGCTACTGCGGTAGCTCTGTTGCAATGCAATGTGTGCAGTTAGAGGGTATTAACATAGTTACAATAATGACTTGTTGCCTTTGCCGGGTGCCCATCACAGAGCCCATGCGACTTTTGCCTCTCCGGATGTGTGGCTGTCCTAAGGACTACTCTCTGTAGATGGCAGTGGCATCATCCTTCACCCAACTGCTTGCCGCAAATGCACAACAATTGCAAGTGCAGTTGCTTGGCTTTCGTTAAAATTCAGCAGCTGTAATTGAACGCATTTTCGTTTTGTCGTTTGATTTCATTGTCTTGCGCCGCGAAACCCAAAATTGTGAACCCCACTCCGGGTGCTGCAGCGGCTCCCCTGTTGTAGCTGTTGGCTGGAGTCTCATTCATTATGCAAACCCCTCCACATGGCTATCTAAACGTGGCCATGGCCAGCATTGTGCTTGCTTCGCTGTGCTTCGGACTGACACGACATTGCCAGGAGGTGGAGTGCTGCCTTTTGAGATTAGTTGCCATTTAAACTGCTGTTACCGCCCCGATCGGTGCAGTCCAGCGATTCCGATTTCATTCCGATTCCAATGCCCGTTCCTACATCTACATACATACATACGTCTCGTCCCATGCCTATTCCCATTTCCCTTCCCATTTCGACTCTGAGACCATTTGGTTTGGTATTTTTTGTGCTGGGAGTGCCGGGATGGAACGCTCGTCAGTTGTGTCCGATGGCTGGCCGCCATAGCATTTTGATTTCCGCACTGCATCCGGCAGTTTTAATCCCCTGACAGCGGAGTCCTCCCCAATCCACACGGTGTCCCGTCCCGAAAAATGCAACAAAAAATGTTAGAGTGCAAATGCAACAAGAAGTGCGAGTGTTCTCGCACTCGAATGCACCTCGCAGAGATCACCCTTACAGCGAATAATTATATGGGAAATACGAGTACAGGAACAGCTAAAGATTCAATAGATTATGACGCTGGGCATACTGGAATCTATGAGAATTTATCCTCCAACCAATCAACTCTAATAGATAATGATCTCTCTTCAGTTAGGGTACATCTGTGGAGCATATAGAGGGGGGGAAATAGTTCCCCCTATTTACCACACACACGCACTTGCAACGTGGGATCTGCTGCGTGGCCATGGCCATGGCGCTGAAAGTGGTCGTTGCAGGCCGTGCTATCCGAATCCAGTGTCGCATTCATTGCCATTCATTCGCTGCTGCCCGTTCGTGGCGAGGACCCCGCACTCACTCACCCTCACTGTCTATCCACTCCCTGACCGATTTCCGTACTTGTTGTTGTTGCTTGTGGCTAACATGCAAGCTTAGGATTTGGAAAACAATTTCACTGTTGGTGGAATGGCGACGTCAGGTCTCGCTGCTGCTGCTGCTGCTCCTACTCCTGCTACCTCCTCCCACTCATGATCTAAAATTTTAGGCGCGATGCGTTGCACACATCCCTAATTAGTGATGTGCAATAATCGTGCGTGTGTCTGTGGGTGGCTTGCCAGAGGGTTGTCGGAGGATGCCCATGGGCTGAGGGATTTCGTAGTAGTTGGTTCGGTTCAAAAATTGCGACATTGTTAATCAACTGTGCGTGTCGCATAAGTTGAATTTGCCTTCGGTTCGTTGGTTGGAATTGGATTGGATTGGTTTGCCTGGAACAGGCAGGCAGGCTGGGCAAGGCGGGGCGAGGCGAGGCGAGGCGGCATGCCCATGGGCCGGGCACTTTTGAAAGTACTTTGGAGCCACAAAATGTTGGTGAATTCATTCGGCTGTTGAGTCCGTCCAAGTAAGTGGAAAATTGTAGTGAAGATCGTGCTGAAGGTCACTGCCACTCGTTTTCGATAAAAGTTTGCTTTCAATTCTGCAAAAGATTAGCAAAAATTTCTTCCCCGAGTGCTTTAATTTGGTTAATGGGAATTTCCCCTCATCCCTGCACCACGGTTCTCGTTCTCGTTGCCGTTGCAGCTGCAGTGCCTTGATTTTAACATCAAAAGTTTCTTCATGAAATCCCAAAAAAAAAGCTGCAACCTTTTGGGAAATGGGTGGGGATAATGGCTGGCTGGCGGGGTGGGGCGTTCTGCCAATACGACGGCTGGCTGCAGTAAATTGACCAGAAAAACAGCAAAGGGCAACGGGGTCAGCCTAATTGAAATTTCATGTTGTACGTAAAGCAAGCCGAGCCCAGCTGCTGGGCTCGATTCGTGCTGCGGGTGTTGGGTGCAAGGGATTCGCTGGGATTTGTAATCAAGAAAAAGAGTAAGGAAGAAGGTAGCAAAAGAGCAGAATTTTACAAATTAAAATAAACGATATCAACACTAAAGACATTTCAAAAATTAAAGAGAATTAACGAAAGAAATTCATTGAATAAATTTCAAAATGTATTTTGATGTTTGCGCAAAGCAAGCCTTGAAAGAGTTTAGGTTAAGGTTCCCGCATATTGAAACACACTTCACAGCAAACAAGCCAACAAATCTATTTCATTAAAACATTTTGCTTCTGTAATTCGGTAAGTTTTCTTGTGGTTAAACCCAACCACAATCGAAGAAATTTCATTCCAATCAATAGCAGCCATGTCTGACAATCGCCCCGAGATGAACGCAAACGAAACGGAAGAGGGACACGCAGAGATCGCAGAGGATGTGATGCCCCTGCGGAACATCGGTGCTGGTGATGGCATTTACCAGGGGGAAGATCTATACCCAGGGGAGCCTCAACTGCGACGTAATCGTCTGGTTGGCGGTCGCGTTGTCTTCTACCAAAATCGTGATGCAATCTGCATTCATGTGGCATGTATCTGCGCGGGAATTGGGTGGACTACGCTGATGCATCCGTTGCACCATGCCGGTGTCTTGATGCAACTGGGCTTTGAACCATTTCCCGGTGAGATTGTCCAAATGGGCTTACTTGGACCGCGCCATCTGCTGCCAGGGGCGCAACATTTGATTGGATACATCCATCAGAGCGATGGATTCTTCGCCCTGTACCGTGGACTAACTGCAAAAATCGCCATAAATATTACCACCTATGTGATGGATACAACTATGTCAATGCTGGGGCTGGAGACTCGCAATTTTGGACCTACGACAGGAAGTTCTGTGCGGGATATGTCCCGGTGCATGCTGGTCCGAGGCTGCCGCTTGACCTTGAAGCTGATCCTCACGCAGCCCCTAACAGTCGTCTTTACACGCCAGATAGCCCAGTTTATTGGCTGCGAGTCTGTCTACCAAACTCTGGGCCAAACCATCATCAAGATATTCAGGGAGGAAGGCATAGCTGCTTTCTATGCCGGCTTTGTGCCCCGCCTGATAGGCAAAATGGGCTTCATGGCCATCACCACTATCGCATCGACTCTGTTTTATCAATATGGTCCGAACTACTACCCCATACAGGCACTCCACGAGCTGGTAGTTGGTATTTCCTCCTCGTACGTGCTGCATCCTCTGACCGTGGTGGGCACCTGCATGGATGTCCAAGGATCGCCCTTGGCTGCTGCCATGCCCTCCCAAATGGCGCACTATGAGCACTGGACCAAGTGCTTCGCTGACATCTATGAGAACAGTGGATTCTACCATCGTGGTGGCATTCTCTTCTGCCGCACAATGCCCGTGAAGAAGCTTGATGCCTAGATGGGTTGCCAGAACTAATTCTTTCATTTTTCCGTTTATTGTCGATCAAAATAAAATATAATTGTAAAGTGGAAAAGCAGCACAATTGAGATTATCGTGTAGGCCCTTTTTTTAGTGTCATACTTCAAGTCAAACGAAAACATTTCATTCAATTGAATGATGGCAAAATATTTGGCAAGAATCGTTATCTCGGGCGCCCAGTCGATTGGCAAGGCACTTGCCAAGACGGTGCGCGAGGAGATCGAGGTCTACAGGGAGGCAGCCCGCGTGCATGCGGCACAGTCCGCCACAAACTTTACGCCCTCCAAAACGGATGCAGCACTCAACGGCATGACGCTGGAGGAGGCTCAGTTGATACTGAACGTCAAGGATGTGCTGGATCGTGCAGAAGTTGAGCAACAATATCGGCACTTGTTTCACATCAATTCGAAGACGGCCGGAGGCTCGTTCTACTTACAATCGAAGATTTATCGGGCCAAGGAACGCATCGATCAGGAGATCAAGAAGATCGAAGCTCTGGCCAAGTTGCAGGCAAAGTCGGAGTCCAAGTAGCAGCAACACGAACACAATACCAAAAGGCAAACACTCAATGATGAACACATCTTTAGGGTGGCATAACAAAATTATAGACTAAACCTCATCCATTTAACCATTTTATGCTGTAGTTTCAATTTTGAAGTCCGAAAGGTGCGGGACTACTCGATGAGTATGACCTAAAGGGTTGTGTGCAGGAAGAGATGACTGCTCGAGTTGAGTTGTCGTGCCGGTAAGGGCACATTTCAATGTTGTTTTGCAGCCAGCGTCGTATCTGGTACTCTTCAGTGTTGCAGTCTTAACAAATGTCAGCAGAGATTAAGCGGCTAAAATCTGTACAGAGGTTCAGAGGCAAACGAACCAATGCAATGTAACGAAGCGAACAAGAGAGACACAAGGACCGGCAAAGGACATGTAAAAGATTTTATATACTACTACACACACACACACACACACACCCACAAATACCCACATATACAGCACACACCCACAGACACACAGGCAGACAATGAAGCGTAACTGGCAGATGCACGTAATGAAAATATCAAAAATCTACAACGAAATGTGCCAACAGGCAGGGGACTAACCCAAGCCCAGACAAAATTCAGTTTTGGTTCATTTGAATGCGACACATTTGTGGGCCACACCTCGGTGAGTCGAGGGTTTCAATAGGGTATGATCAATGCCTTAGAGGACAGCTACTTCAGGACTTATATTTATTGATATGCAAAAGTTCTGATAAGTTCTGCCTAGGACTTGTCATTCTTTCATATTTCCAGGGTATATCGCAGGCTGCTCTTTGTTCCACAACGAAAATGCTTACTTAAATGCCAGTTAGGCCAGTTGTTGCTGCTGTGAGTTGGTCAGGTTCATTTAGGCCAGAGAAATCAAGAGTCAAAAGTTAGACTTGTGACTCTCGTGCCGCCTGCCTCGTGCCCTTCTGCCACATCAACGTTGGGAAATTACTAGTTATTACACGGCCATGGGTGTGCGTGTGTGTGTATGGATGATGAGAGGAAAATTCGTATCGTCTTAATAACCAAAAAATGCCATCAGCCTTTAGCTTTCAACCATTGCAGCAGCACCATGTCCTGTCCTGGAAATGACTCTACTCTTGCCCATCCTGCTTCTGTTCTGTTCTGTTCTTGATTCCTGCAACATTCACGCATGCCTGGCCTGACCATGCATATGCATACGTATATCTAGACATGAATTTCGTTATACTAAATGTATATGGGTGCATCGTGGCAACTGTTGAGCAGAACACGAACAGAATCTGTTGTACTGTCGCCTGTGCAAAATGCAATTAGACTAACGATGCAACACAATTTTGTCTTCAACATCATAAAGATGTGATGGCGATGCGAAGTGAGGGGACACAGAGATGAGTTGGAGAGTGAGAGAGAAGAGAAGTCTCGAATGTGGGGGCTTTGGTGCAAGCCAGATGGTCAGCCATTGAGGACAAGGTGCAGTTTGAATAGTTTCATTTGATACAGTTTAAATTGTTGCAGAAAGTCGCTGAATAAGTTTTAATTTGTAAAGGGATCAATGACAGCTTAGTTCTCGTTGATAGAATCTACCATTCCGAAGATTGTTTTCCTTCAAATTTTACTTAGATATCTTCGTGAGAGAACTTATTATAAGGATTATGCAAACTGTTTGCATCTTTTCAGCAACCTTCGCTCCATTTTGCGACACTTTTGTATTTAAATTGTTGTCTGTGGGTGATGCTGTGTGCGAGCCTGTGTGTAGCGGAAATGTTGAACAAAAGCTGGCATTTGCTTGGGACTTGTCCGACTTGAGTTTCATAAGCAACAAATTGCAGTGCGTTTGGTCATAATTAACATTAATATCAAGTCAATTAAGTAGTCAATTATGAATTATTATTGAAATCAGATCGACTAAAGGCAAAAGGCAACAGCGGGCACAAGTGGGTGCTTGTGGGCAGATCAGTCTCTGTATCTGTATCTGTATCTGTATCTGTATCAGTATCCATTACAAATGATTTACATGCTTGGCGCTCATGCCGAATACGAGAGTGTGTGGTTTGACCCGTTCTAAGAACGTGGCCGACAGCAGACAAACACATGTTCCACATCCCATATATGTCATAATTAACACAAGCCACTAAATGCATGATTGGTAGCATATGAATATTAATTATGCACTCGCTTCCACTTCGGCAATTCTCTGTGAAATCTCGGTAAATGTATCTGGTAAATGTGTATATTACAAATATGATGTGAAGAATTTGTTTAAATTATTGTGGCAGTGAATTTTGAACCGATCGCTTTTGTTTTTGTTATTGCAGAAGGAGCTGAATATCATATTAACTTTATATACATTTTATTATCTAATTTGAAGCAACTTTTTTATCATTTAGTACTCAACATTGAGATACTCATATAAAAAAATAAATCTAAAAAAAAAAAACAATCCAAGACAATGCAGTGAAATTTTCTCGGAAAACATGGGAAATCCACGATAAATGCTGCTCGACAGTAAAGTGAAAAGATTTTTCTATTGGGAACATGACTTTTGTGTACATTTTTTGTTGTTGTGTTGTTTTCTTTTTCGGTGGATTGGACGGGCGGATGGTTCTGGATGAAATACATATATTACGCATACGCCGCATGGGCTTCCGTTTTCCGACAACAACGTCGGCGGTTTCAATTTTATACCGTTAAACCAATTAACAGGTTTTACACAAACATAAACAAAAACACACAGAAACACACACACACACTTGTGCACACATTTATGAGGTGTTAATCGACGTCATTCTGATGTAAAGCGCGATGAGAAGCAATATATATTTTATGGGTTGCGTAATTAACAGGCAACAACAATAACCAGCCAGGGGTAGAGGCAGCGAGACAGCGACAGGTTAATGAGGCTTCATTGATTATGCTTACATATATACATACATACATATGCATATGAGGTCGTGTCGAGTGAGGTGTGTGAGCAGCGAAAGAGGCTTTTGGCTGGGGGAGTTGGGTTGGCAGTGGCGGCTGCCCACATCAAATTAAAATGCAACATATGCTAATGAAATCATCCAAAATTATGAGCAATTAAGAATAGCTTAATGGGATTGCCATTGCCTGGCATTGGTTTTGGTTTGGTTATGCGTTTTGGCTTGGTTTTGACTTCCTCGCACCGAACTCCTCTATTTTATCCTAAAGCTACCAGCTTTAACGTCGCATTTCTTTTGTCTGTTTGAGCAGAAGACACGGAACAAACAGGCAGGAAGACAGGGTGGGAGCTGTGGAAGCAGCCAGGTGTAAATTACAAAACTTGCAAGATTTTCGTTTGGCATTTCCTCTTCCCTGATGCTGGGAGTTGGAGACGACGATGATGATGATGATGGCACTGCTGGCACACTGACTCGTCGTCTGTCGTCATAGCTGGCTGGTCTTGGACTCGAGCGTAATGCCAACAATTACGCAGCTGAATATTTTATGAGCCAAGCAGATTAATATGAATATTTTATTATCATTTTAGATTCCTTATTTCTTTCACTGGCTTTCACCCACTTTCGACTGTATTTTTCTGCCTCTCTGCCTGTCTGTCTTTCTGTCTATCTCTCTGGCAAAGAACCAGCCAGCAGGCCCAAAACTAAGTCTAGTTAGATGGCATGGCCCGAAATATGCTTTGTTTTTTGGCATTTCACTTTGCAGGCTTCTTCCTTTTTCCTTCTGCTGAGTGCAGCAAGGACAGCTTCCCATTTGTTGCAATTATGTGACCATTGTAGAGAGTTATTTATTTTGATATTTCCTCGAAATAAAATCAGATTGATCTGCGTACATTTCGGGTAAACTCAAACTTGAGTTAAGTTTTCATAGAGCATTCACTTTTCGTTGGTTTCCACTCCTTGGACTCCGCTTGCTGTTTGGTCTGCCGTTTTTTTGCACCTTGCCAGACGAATTTTCGTTTGTGCCTGAGAGAGGGTGAGAGAGAGAGAGAGAGAGAGAGAGAGCGGCAGGAGGGAAAGAAATAAATGAAAAGTGTGTGAGAAGAAAAAGGGAAAAATGTGGTGAGAACGGAATTTATGACCACGAGCCTTCAAAGGGCCAAGTTGCCTAAATGTTTTTTCTTTTCCCCACCAAACCCAAACCCAAGCCCAATCCCATTTCCCATTGCCATTTCCATTCGCATTGGCACTGCTACTGCTACCGCCTTGTGCCATGTAAAAACCAGGCCAAAACAAATTGGGGTGAGAGGCGCTGCCATCGCTGGTAGTCCCCTCTCAAATACCAAAAAGCCACTTGAAAAACTGTGGGGCGAGAGCGGAGAGTGGCATTTTCTTTCATTTGTTGCATTTTAAATTTAAATTTTCATGCGCTGCGAGTGTCGGCAATTACCAAGGCCTAAACTTTACTTTACACACCCACAGATATATACATGTAGATGTAGATATGCACGTGTATATGTATGTTTAGTTTGGAGGGCGCCCAATAATATCGTCATCATCAAGTGCCGCGCCCACGGCCCTTATATTTTTTTGG